GACAAATCCAATAAAGGCCTAATCTCTAAAATGTACAGGAAAATCCAACATCTTTACAACAAAAAGACAAATAATCCAATTAGAAAATGGGCAAACGATATGAACAGACACTTCACCAAAGAAGACATACAAACGGCTAACAGGCACGTGAGGAAATGCTCAAGATCACTAGCCATTAGAGCAATGCAAATCAAAACCACAATGAGATACCATGTCATCCTAACATTACTGGCACGAATCAGAAAATCACAAATGTTGGAGAGGTTGCAGGGAGATTGGAACTCTTATGCACTGCTGGTGGGAATGCGAAATAGTACAACCATTTTGGAAAATGATATGGTGTCTCTTTAAAAAGCTAGAAAAAGAAATACCATATGATCCAGCAATCCCACTCCTAGGAATATATCCTAGAGAAATAAGAACCATCACACAAATAGACATATGCACATCCATGTTCATTGCAGCATTGTTCACAATAGCAAAAAGATGGAAACAACCTAGTTGCTCATCAACAGATAAGTGGATAAACAAACTATGGTACATATACACAATTGAAATATTACTCAACGATAAAGAACAATGATGAATCTGTGAAGCATCTCACAGTAGGGATGAATCTGGAGGGCATTATGCTGAGTGAAATAAGTCAGTTACAAAAGGACAAATATTGTATGAGACCACTACTATAAAAACTCGTGAAAAGGTTTACACACAAAAAGAAACAATCTTTGATGGTTACGAGGGAGGGGAGGGGTGAGAGGGAAAAATACTTAACAGGCAATAGATAAGTGGTAACTTTGGTGAATGGTAAGACAGTATATGATAACTTGTCCAAGGTAAGGTCATAGAAGCTCCATAGATACATCCAAACTCCCTGAGGGACCAAATTACTGGGCTGAGGGCTGTGGGGATCATGGTCTCAGGGAACATCTAGCTCAATTGGCATAACACAGTTTATAAAAAAAATGTTCTACATTCTACTTTGGTGAGTAGCATCGGGGTTCTTAAAAGCTTGTAAGCAGCCATCTAAAATACTCCACTAGTCTCACTCCATCTGGAGCAAGGGAGAATGAATAAAACCAAAGACACAAGGGAAAGATTAGTCCAAAGGACTAATGGACCACAACTACCACAGTCTCCACCAGACTAAGTCCAACACAACTACATGGTACCTGGCTTCCACTACTGACTGCCCTGACAGGGATCACAATAGAGGGTCCCGGACAGAGCTGGAGAAAAATGTAGAACAAAATTCTAACTCACAAAAAATGACCAAACTTACTGACCTGACAGAGACTGGAGAAACCCCGAGAGTATGGCCCCAGGCACCTTTATAGCTCAGTACTGAAGTCACTCCTAAGGTTCACCCTTTATCCAAAGATTAGATAGGCCCATAAAACAAAACGAGACTAAATGAGCACACCAGCCCAGGGACAAGGACGGGAAGGCAGGAGGAGACAGGAAAGCTGGTAATGGGGAACCCAAGGTCGAGAAGAGTGTTGACATGTCGTGGGGTTGGCAACCAATGTCACAAAACAATATGTGTATTAATTGTTTAATGAGAAACTTGTTTGTTCTGTAGACCTTCACCTAAAGTACAACTAAAATAAATAAAAATAAATAAAACCATTTATCTAAATCTAAAACCCAAAACCATTTATCTCAAGGAGCTTACATTCTATATTTCTGCAATATCTGAATTCTTTAAATAACCATTATTACCTCATAAGCAAAAAAAAAAAAAAAAAAGTTCGAAATTCAAAAGTACATAAATAGCCTGATCTCCTACCTAATCTATCTCTGATCTCCCTGCCCCCGTGCTCTTCCTTCCTTACCTAGATCCCACCCAGTCTTTCTGCCCAACTTGTGGCCAGCCTCTCCAATAAAGCTGTCAGCAACACCCCCTCCTCCCTGAAACTGTGATACCTTCCTGTGAATTGATAGTGAAAGCTCACAGACCTCCCTGTTTTGCAATCATGTGAGATTCCCTGGAAGCCAGCGGCTGCGTCCCTATCATCCAGCACATAAATACCTGACACACAGAAGGCATTCAATAAATGTTAGTCAAACGGGGATCGTGTTGGCGATAGAGGTGCACCATCCAGATCGACCTTCAAGAGAACAGGCCGTGGGAGAACAGACAACTGACAGTCTCCAGCTGCCATGCCTTTGGGTCGTTCCTGTCATTCATGCTGAGGCCACATTTCTCCTGCTTTCTTCCAGTCAGTGACCGACCATGATGGGAATACCAGAACATGGCCATTTCTGCCTGATGCAGGATCCTTACCAGGAACCTTTGCTTGAGGACTCCCAATCAGCGTAGTTAAAACTTTTCCAGAAGTGAGCTACAGTCTGAAGTTTTTCCTAGCCATTCAAAAACAGCAACAACAAAAAACAAACCCAAAAACCAAACCCGTTGCCATTGAGTCAGTTCCAACTCATGGCAACCCCATGTATTTCATAGTAGAACTGCGCTCCATAGGGTTTTCAATGGCTGTGATCTTTTGGAAGTAGATAGCAGGACTTTCTCTGAGGGGCCTCTGGGTGGATTCAAACTGCCAACCTTCCGGTTAGCGGCCAAGCACAAAATGTTTGCGCCACCCAGGGAACCTTCCTATCCAATCCTCCTCCTTTCCCATTCTCCTTCCCCAGGTGTCAGATCTGCACTGTAGTCTGAAGGCTCTCCTTGCCTTCTCCTCCTGCTTCCCCCTGTATCCTTCACAGGCATTTGTCCCAGTAATAACCATCTTGGCATCTGATTTTCCGAGGACTCAAACTAACACAGGGATCAACAGGAAAAAAAATTACTGAAAAAGTGTTCATTAAAAAAAAAAAAGACCACAGATATACTCTCTTAAGAGATGTATGTACAGAAATGTGCTGGAGATGTACTGGATCCATGCTTCACAAACTTTAATGTGTGCATGAAATACCTGGGGTTCTTGTTGAAGTGCAGATTCTGGTCTAATAGCTCTGGTGTGGAGCCTGAGAGTCTGTATTTCCAACAAGTAACCAGGTAGTACAGCTGCTGCTGGCCCAAGGACCACACTTCGAGCAGCAAAGTGCTGGGCATCTTCTAATTGCCTCTGCCAAGTCTCTTTCTACCTGTCTCCATCCTGCCCTGTGCCCAGGGAAACTGACCATGTGGACCACATCAGAGAGCTTGGAGCTGGCTTCTAGTTGAGGGGCACTGGCAGAAGATCAGAGAGTGCAAGGAGAGTGGAGTCGGAGGTTTTGATTCCCTTGGAATTGCGCCCTGTTGGGTTGCGGTGGGTTAGCTGTGTCCCTCTGCCAAAAGCCACGGCTCCTATCAGGTAGCTTTCTCCATACAGTTTCTCTCTGGAAGAACTCCTGTAACTGCACTCTTTCTTTTCCCCTTCAGGTCTGGGGTGGTAATGGCTCCCCACCGTTACCAGCGCTGGAGTACCGCACCATCCCTTGTGACTCTTCATAAATGCTGCCCACACTTTGTAAATAACCTATTAAACATTCCTAAGTCCCTCAGCCAAGTGTGCCACCTGTCTCCTGCAGAGACCCTGCCTGCCAATAGAGCTGTTCATCGCAGATTTTTTTTTGTAATTGCAAAGAACTGGAAACAAGCTAACTAAATGTGCATCATTAAGAAATAATTAAATATATTACAGTGCACATCCTTTATAGTGTTACATCTAATCATTAAAAAAGGATGCAGCAGATTTCTATTTGCCTACACGGAAAAACGCCCGAGACATTCATTGAGTGAAAAAAAGCAAGATTCAGAATAGTCTGTATAGCATGAACTCATTCATTTAAAAAAGTAAATCATGCATTTGTTAAGGCTTAGATTGCAAGTGACCAAGTGACGACAACCCTACTCAAAACAAATTTAACCAAAAAGAAGAGGTGGGGAAGACGATTTCTGACTTACAGATGCAGAAATGAGAAGTTAAAGGGGTGAAGTTGGCTTTAAGCATGACTGGAAGGCTAATAGCATCAGGAATCAGTCTTTTTCTATCACTTGGCTCTGCTGTCCTGTGTGGTGACCTCACTCTCGGGCGAGCTTGTCTTCAAGTGGTGGCAGATGCGTCACCAGCTAGGCTTACAACATCTGTGGACCACACTGTGAGAACCACTAATGAAGAAGGATGAGGTACGTGAGGCGCTTGAAGCCTCAGTAGCCCTGCCCAGGTGAAGGACTGCTACTAAAAGCCCCTTCTGGGGGTACAGAGTGGACCCATTCGTTCCATTAATTCAGTTAACAACCATCTAAAAAGTCCAAGTTCAGTGCCAGGCGCTGGAGAGTCAGCGGTGCACGCCACAGCAAGGCCAGTGCGGCGGTGGACTCGCGATGAAGGACTTGGAACAGCCGCTCCGAGCTCCGCACCCGGCAGGAAGTCTCCCGCGCCGCCAGAGAAGGCCGCAAGCGGGCGCCGAGACAGCAGTCCCTCCCAAAAGCTGGCGTTGGAGGCGCCACCCAGTCCCTGCGCGCGCCCGGCACACAGTAGGTGCGCAGCGCCGCCCCGGGCGCGCG